GCTCTGCATCTCTCTCTTTCTCTCATTCAGATCGAACAATGAACTGTTCCAATTATACACTTATTTTCACATAGTTATGAGAAGCGTTAAACATGGACCGGTATGCAGTTGCCGTACTGTATTAAAGCTTTAATCAGGATAAAACCGTATATTAAAAGCTAACATAAGCAGTAGCATTTACAAATAACAGCGTATCTAAAAGTATGAGACAACAACAAACAAAAAACATAGATCTACCATTAAAAGCCATTCTTGCACAGGTTCTAGTGTTGTTACGTTCGTGAACGAATCGTTCTTTTTGAACGAATCTTTTTGGTGAACGAATCGTTCTCGTTCACGTAATCCATTGACTCATATTTCTCGTTCACTGATATTCCATAGCAGCGCATGCGCAGATCAGCGAACCGGGTAGCACTGTGAACTGTTTCATCCTGTCAGAGAATGACTAAACCTCGAGCCAATAGCCTTCGAGTATGAGATGTGACGGAGCATGTGATTTGTTGAATGTAGTGAATGAATACGCCCTTCACTGACCGAGTTTCTTTTGAGTCTGAACGAGAGAGCTCTTCTCGTTCGGATGCAAAGCGCAGTTATAGGTACTGTGCAAATAAACTTGTTTATATATTCATATTTAGCACATGTTTAGAACATAACTCAACGTTTAATCCCCGATTTATGAATGTGTAAATGTCTGACCAAACAATTAAAATATTAATTATGCAAGAAAACCTTGTGCTTTGGTCATCTGTGTCTTGTAAGCATTTACCAGGAGGCAGTGGTCTTTTGAGGCTTTATTGAAGAACAGCTTGGAACAGCAACTTAATTCTCATCCAGATTCAGAACACAGACTGATCCTCTCCTTTTGTGACTTGCCCATACAGCACTCCTTGAGTCCCCCTAGTGGGCTGGATATAGTATCACGCATCTCATAGGTATTACAATACCCTGACAATCTGAAGAACTTATTTAGACTTTATTTATTTAATGAGTAGATTGTGCACACATTTTAATAAAGCCAAATCAGTTTTTTGTAATAAGTAAAATACGTTCGTTGACTTAAGACATAACAGATAAGACACTCTTTTTCGCCACCTGCTGGCGTATTTATGTAATATGAAGAAATGGTCACTGAACGAATCAGTGAACGAATCTGTAGAGGTTGACCGATTGATCGGCCGATTTTTGGCATTTTTTTAATTAATCGGCATCTGCCGATTGTGCCGCAAATTAGGCCGATTTATAGGCAGGCAGATCTGCGGGCAGCTAAGCGTTGTTGCGGAACACACTCTGCAGCCGCTTCTTGTTCACACACAGTTTCAGCTAATGATGGCAGGGCAAAACAGACCGTTTCGAAAGCATAATTACGTTGTACCCTACTAGAATTGATGCCGACCATGCTTATCATAAGTGCAACAAGTCATTTGCATGGGAAAGTAGAAACATGTGCAATTCAGACGAAACTTCTGGCTAAAACGTGCACGCTAACTTTCCTCATTAAATGTGTCTGTGGGTCCGACATCATCCATGACGTCATTGCTCTTAAGCAGTTATAAGCAGCTGGCTGTGTAATATGAGAGAACTCTTTCATTTTTGTTATGCTGCTGGGTGCAACTGTGTAGAACACTCTTGTTTATTTTATTTATTATATTGTTTTTATGTAAGTTTTTGTGCACTAAAACTTAATTTTTTCATCCAAATGTTACAACAGGCTACCTGTTTTGTGTATTTAATATTGAACATATTGTTTTTTTTTATTTAAATTATACAAGTGCGCTGATTGGAGAGGCTTGTGTTGTTCAATAAATGTTTAATTTAAGCAATTTTCTAGGGGGATTATAACGTGCACGATAACTTTCCTCGTGAAATGTGTGTGTAGGTCCGACCATAGAATATACAATCTCATCGCTCCTGGGCACTGTAATCTTAAGCAGTTATGAGCAGCAGGCAGTGCAATATGTGTGAACTCTTTATGTTATCACTTGGCCATTTGACTTATATCAGTGTCCAGTGTTTCCAATACATTGAGTTACTACCTCGTTGAATAAACTGATCACTGCACGTTTCAAAATTAAAATGCAGCGCGGGTGTTTTTATATGAATGTATCTTTGAAAAGAACCGACCGTCTTCAGAAAAGCTTCGGTGTCATTTTCATTTCGTCTTTCCTGTAATGCCTGATAAAGTAACGTTAGCGTTTGTGAGCGCAGTCACAGTGCTTATTAGATTACAGCCGTTACCGGGGAAACCACTATATCTCCCGCTCCAACAGCACACACCGGCCCAGCTGACCAATCACAGCACACACCGCTCCTCGCGGTTCTGAGTAAAGGTGCTGATTTCCGCGCAAATGTATCTGCCATAACACCAAAGAATGGGCTAATCCCATATAATGAAGGTCACCGTTATGTTTAACTCAGGAGCTGCTTTCTTTCAATAACGTCTTAGAAATGCTTTTAAGTCTTATTTGTTAGCTGATATCCACAATTAGGAGCTGATATGAACTGTTGTTTTAATTCATAAAGTGTAAATTTAACACACTTAAATTAGGCAGTTTGTGTCTCATATATGAAAATGATTTCAGAGACTGTATAGCTGTGCTTGCCATAGATGTATAATATTTTTTAATACAAATGATTTTGATGCAAACGTAGTTATATATACTGAAAATG